TTTAGGGTATATATCCAGTAATGGAATGTCTGGGTCAAATGGTATTTCTAATTCCAGCTTTTGAAGGAATCGCCATACTGCTTTCCACAATGGTTGTACCATTTTACAGTCCAACCAGTAGTGTATGAGAGTCCCAATCTCTCCACAACTTCGCCAGCATTTATTATTTTCTGTCTTATTGAACTTTGCTACTAGTGCTAGAGCAAGATGGTATCTCATTGTTGTTTTGATTTGCATCTCTCTAATAGCTAATGATCGTGAGCATTATACGTTTGTTGGCCACTTGAATATCCTTGGTGAAGTGTGTCTATTCATGTCTTCTGCCCATTTTTTAATTGGATTGTTTGTCTTTTTGTTATTGAGGTATTGGGGTTTTCTATATATTCTAGAGATAAGTCCCTTGTCAGATATGTTATTACCAAATATTTTTTTCCCAATCTCTAGGTTCTCTTTTGACTCTTTTGGAGAAGTCTTTGGAAGCACATAAAAATTTAATTTTTAGAAGGTCCCAATCATCTGGTTTCTCTTCTGCTGTTTGTGCATTTTGAGTTATGCTCGAGAGTCTATTTATGCCACATATTAGGGCCCCTAAATTTGCCCCTAGATTTTCCTTGAGGAACTATAGTTTTAGGTTTCACATTTAAGTCTTTGATCCATCTGGAGTTCATTTCTGTGTATGGTAAGTAGTTAAAAACTTTTAAACCTCAGTATCTTAATGTGTAAAATGCAGAAATATTAATAGTATATACCTCATAGGGTTTCTTAGAGATTAAATGAGAAAATGTTTGCATCGGTCAAGGTTCCACCAGATAAACAAAACCAGTAAGATCAGTAGGAGACATAGATAGATACTGATAAGTGGATTGATTTCTGTAATCTTTGTGGGAGTAGATCACTAGGTCTCTTCTCTTGCAGAGCCACTGAGTGGGTTTCACTAACTTATCAGTTCACAGCTGGGCACTTAACTGTTGTGCTACCAGGGCTCCTTCAGGTCTGCTTAAAAAACCAACCAGTCTCACTGCCATCAAGCAGATTTCCAACTCATGGTGACCCCCATTGGGTTTCCAAGGCTGTACATCTTTACAATGGCTGACTGCCTCATTCTATCTTCCACAGAGCAGCTGGTGGGTTCAAACCACCCATCTTTTAGTTAGCACCCAAATGAATGCCTTAACCACTACACCACGAGAGTTCCTTTGGGGTCTGGTTAGGGAAGTACAGAGTCTGGTGGCCAGGTCAGCAAGCTGGAAACTATAGCATGACTGAGGCAACATTTCACAGGCATTTCTTCTTCCTCAGGAAAACCTGTTTTGCTCTTAATGCCTTTCAACTGATAGGATGAGACGCACTCACATTATTGACAATAACCTCCTTTACTTAAAAAGCCAACTGATTGCAGATGTTAACCACATCTACAAAATACCTTCATAGCACCACCTAGGTTAACGTTTGACTGAATGACTGGATACTATAACCTAGCCAAGTTGACATCAGGGCTTCAAATCAGTTCAAAAAATTTCAGTCATGGCTGACAGAAACAAGTACATGTACAAGTAAGCAACGACATACTTGTACTTTGTATTTTGACCTGAGCAGAAAACTGGCAGTGGTGCCCCCTACCCCACTCAAAGGTGGTGGCCAACTGCAGTACTTTGAATGTGTGTCATGGTATGGTCGGCCACTGCCGTTGTTTCTGTTGTCTATGACAGAACCATTTCAAATGAATTCAGAGCCCTAGTTGGCATGTAAAACTAACCATCACAGTGCTCAATAGAGAGCCTAGAAGTGCCCATGGCCTCCACCCAAACTTGAGTAACTGTGCAACCACATGTATTGGTCGTTGGTGGAATATACTGCTTCTTGACATGCTTGTGGTGACACCTTTTACTCGTCTTAAGTTTTTTTTTTTTTTTTAATTATTTTATTAAGAGTATCTTTCTCTGAGTATATGAGTTTTTTATTTTCAAAATATGGTGTCATGTTTCATAGACTGATGACAAATATTTTTGTAAATAAGCCAGTCAGTAATTATAACTGAGGTATTTAGAAAAGTTTTTATTTGTTGAATAATTCAAAGCTTAGGCAAAAGGTTATCAACACAGTTCCCACTAAGGAGTGATTGTCCTTGCTTGTTGGTTTTTGTGATTAGGTGAAGCCCAACCTGATAGACTCTCAGCAAAATTATAATGAGAAGAAAATTTGTCTTTGGTTTAGCCAGCCTTGATTTTTGTTGTGACATAGTGCAGAAGACATGTGGCTGCTAAACAGAAGGTTGGCAGTTTAAACCCACCAGCCACTCCACAGAAGGAAGATGGGTCAATCTACTTCCATAAAGATTTACCACTTTGAAAACCCAATGGGGGTCGCTATGAGTTGGAATGGAATCCATAGCAGGGGCTTCTTTCCTTTCCTCATACACCACTTCTAGCCCAGGCTTTTGTTTCTTACCTCTTTTCCATAACAAAACACAAAATACTGTGAAGTCATTCTTTCATTTTTGAGTGAAACTTACCCATATTATGCAGTATTGGATCTCTCAGTTGTATTTGCATTTTAAGTCTTATAGCACTAGTTGTGGAATGAAAGATGTTTTTCCTTTTAAAGTTCACTATCAGGATAAAAGAACTTCTGGTGGTGTAGTGCCTAAGGCATTTGACTCTAACCAGAAGGCTGGCAGTTGAAACCCACCAGCCACTCCTTGGAAGGAAGGTAGGAAAATCTACTGCCATAGTGATATTGCCTTGGAAACCCAAGGAGGGGTCGCTTTGAGTCAGATCGGACTCGATGGCAGTGGGTTTTTTTTTTTTTTTTTAATGGGAGATAAGTCTTTAGATCACAGAAGCATACCAAAGTCTTAGGACCTGAACTTCTGTAGAAACTGGAAGATTGATGAGCAGCAGCAATAAAAAGGGGAATTAGCGTTTTATTAAACATCAAAGGTGTGCCAAGTGCTTTACAAACATACTCTTTTATAATCTTTATAATAACCCTGATAATGGCATAGTGCCTAAGGCATTTGACAGCTAACCAGAAGGCTGGTGGTTCAAACCCACCAGC